TTTTTTTTTTTTTTTTTTTTTATAGCGGCAGGTTAAACAAGCGATCCTTGCATACGTCTGCAGCTGAAACTCTACGCTAACCCCCAGACCCCCTAAATCCCGCCGGGATCCTGCTTGCCCAAAGTAGGTGTAACATTTAAAGACTTAGGGCCCGAAGAAGGCATCATGGATAGATATAGATTTCCACAGTAGCCTTAGTTTCAACGTGAATCCCCAAACCAGCACCTTAGTGGTGCAGGTTTCAGTACCTTGCCGGGAAGCTGTCCAGTGCCCGGAGTGCAGGCCTTTCATGGGGAAGTGCGTTGGGCCTGGGTTTAGGGTTAGGGCTTAGTGTCTGAGCTGAAATCTCCGGACATGGACCTATAGCCCCAATTACCCGCAGCTTATCTATTGAGCAGAGGGCAGGATGATTATTAACAAGCTGTAGGAAGGTTGGGATCCCGGGATGCTTTAAGGCTAAGGCCAAAGGAGCACGGTCTAATTCTTACAGGCCAAAGTTTAGAAAATGGGGATGGAGGGGTAAGGGGTTGCTGCAGTAGCCGTCATGTTTAATTTTCTGGGGGCTAGCGCAAATGACGCTAGATTTTTTCAAGGAAAGCTCGAGCGGAACATGCGCGGCCCGACCCTCTGCTTCCATAGTACAATGAGAGTAGGGTCCCGAAGTTCACTTCCCCACGGCCTCTCAAGGGCCAAAAGACTGCATATGTGGATAAGTTAGGCTACTGATTACTTAGCCTTTGTTTTCATCAGAAAATTTTCCTACTCAAGCTGCGGGCAACGCATTCATCAACAAAGCCATGCTTGGAGAGCCTTGGTCTGGTACATCAAGACGTTCATCAAGCCCATGTCTTTCCTTGATGAATCCACTTCCCGAATAGTCAGCACCCACCACAATATAATGGTGTACTATTTTTTGTTGGGGGGAGGGGGATAATTCATTAACTCGGTGGGTCTATTCTTGACCCTTAGCCTGCAAATCGAAATCACATAGTATTTCCTGTTTACTTTACCATTCCCTTTTATATCCGTACATACCCTGTTCAGGTTACCCCAACCCCAGCATGTGCTTCACGCCTCAGTTGTTCAGGGTTGAAGGTTTAGAGTCTAGGGCGCGTGCAAAATGACCATAGCAACAATGGCTCGGAAGGTGGGTTATGCATATTGTGTCTAGCAGCTTCTGAAAGAAGGCCGTGCTTTTACCTGCACTTTATTGGTAAAGCATGTTCACTTCCGCTGTGCTTTTTAGAGCTAGGTGTTTGCTGCTCTTCATTTGTTGTTACACTCCTGTTGGTTGCGCTGGCTATGATGTTGATCCTGTGCTTTGCCTTGCTTTTGCAAAGCTGCTCGTCTGACTGGGCAAGCAGTGTTCCAGCAGCCTTGGCAAGCGATGATGAGCGTCTGGCCCAGTCAAGCTCCTTTCTCTTTTTTGGTTTTCATCCTGAACCCTAAGACACCCGCCCGCTTCTCTGGCTGGGTATGTAGGGAATAGGGGAATATAGTATGTAGGGGTTACGTAGGGATTACATTCCCCCATCCCTTACTAAGAGCCAGCAAGTTATAATACAGTAAAGGCGCCCTTTTTTGTTCCCAGCTCGCTACCCTGAACCCTGAGCCTAGGTGTGTATCAGATGGCAGCCGCAACTGCTCTGTTTCTGCTCGCCAGCTGCGGGGCTTGCGTCTTTTGCAGAGACTCGCCTGATCAAGGGTTGAGAGTTTAGGGTCATTACCATGGAGTTAGGGGGATGGAAAAGAGAGTGGAAACTACCAGGCGAAAAAAGCTCTATAAAAGGGATCCTTTCCTCCATTCCCGACCTACAACCAGTCAGGCGATCAGGCGTGCTGAGATGGAGCAACCATCCTTCAAAGTGCCTGGATGTCCCATATGGGCATGCGAAGAATGGAATTGAGCTGCAGCTATGGACTTGTGACCCTACGTCTCCGAACCAGCAGTTTGCTTGGAGTAGCAATGATGGCAAGCTCCGGTGGGCAACGCATCCGACCTTCTGCGTTGATGTCACGGACCACAGGAATGTGACTTAGTGGTGATTAGGATCCTTATCAGAGTCTTTAAATTATGCCTGTAGTAGTCCCTAACTGCCATATTCTTCTATTGCCCTCCTCCCGCCGGCAAGGTAAATGGCAACCGCTTGCAGCTTTGGGAGTGCATCGACTCAAACTCAGACCAGTCCTTCGACATGTCCCAGTCCGGCAAGGGCCATATCCGGTGGTCAAACCATCCAGACAAGTGTTTAGATGTCCGGGATCATGGTGACTGGAATGGGAACCAGTTTCAGATTTGGTCGTGCGGTGCCAGCAACAGTGACCAAAACTTTGCACTCGATGGCGGCGGCTCATCTTTGCCGACTGAAGCTCCCGTTTCCGATGGGTTTGACGTGATTGTCACTGGAGTCTACTCAGAACATATTCCGTGATTTGTATGCGTGGGCTCCGAAGGGACTGTAGGGACGTTTGGGGCACCAAATCTTGGGGAAAACTTCAAAATCCAACCAACTGCAGGTTAGGTAGGGAAAGCCCAAGTTCAACCAAGTTAAATCCTGCATTCCCTTCTGGTTACCAGTACAGAGACCACGAGTGTTTCGTAATAATATTCACACCAAACTTTCAAAGGGTCCATGTAGCTGCATTTTATATAGCTGGGCCCTGGAGTAGTTACATGGGAACCCTCTGAGCCCTAAGTACATACTTTATACCCACATGGACTCTTTAAAAAACTAGAGGTCATCGGTGGTGGCCTCATGGGCTCTGCAGTAGGAGCTCGGCTGGCGAGCAAGCTAGACGAGTTGCCAGGGCAATTGTTGCAGATTTTTTTTTTTTAAATATGGTTTAGGGGTTTAGGGTTTAGTGGCCCATATCTAGGTTTTTCAGTGGCATACGTTTTCCCTTTTTGGGCTTCTGGCTTCCTAGTAGATTGCCCTTAAACTCAGAAAGCAGATACTCTTTTTCTTCAGGGTTTAGAATTAGGTTCGAAGGCTTAGGGGCGCATCAGACCTGGACCTCAGACGTGAAACCTCAAAGCCGAAGTCCAAGAAGCCCTACGAACCCTGCAAACCTCTTAAACCTCGTTAGCGCCATAAAACCCAATAAACGCCAGCCACCCTATAAAACCTATCAGCGCTATAAACCCTACAACCCTTCTAAGACCAAAAAATCCTTACATAAATCCTAAACCTAAGGGTCCAAGGACCCAAATAATAGGGTTTTAGGGCCCAAATACTATAGTATGAATGGTATTTGGGCCCTAAAACCCTATTATTTGAGTCCTTGGACCCTTTGGGTAAACCCTGAACAAGGAACCAGTTCCGTGTGGCGCTGCTGGAAGCAGGAGGCGCTTCTCAAGCGAGCCTGGGCGGAACGGAGCCTCCTGCATCCTGGCAACTGGGTCCACGTTATGGTTTGGAAGTTTAGGGTTTAGGGGTTAGAGTCTTGAGGTTGGGGTGTAAAAGGGTTAGGGTTCAGGGCCTATGTGATTTAGGATTGAAGTTTCAGGGTTTGGTGCGGTTCGGGATTTGGGGTTTGGGGTGTAGGGCGGCTGGGGTTTAGGGTCTACTGAACCCAATACGTCTTAATCCATATCCCACATATCGCGGTCAGGGTTCTACAACTAGTTAGAGTATATGCCTTGATTAAAGCCCTATGGGCCTTTTGTTGAGTCTGGATTGTGTCACATCACCTAAACCGCGTGGAGCCAAGGCAAGGACGGCCGGGCCGCTGGGTGAACTGGGCCGACAACTTACCCTTTACACGGTACTTGGCCGATGACTGGGTTGCTGTTAAGGAACTTAAATTAAGTTACTATATCGGGGAAACCTTATTATTTACTATATATACCCATTATGGTAACTTAATTTAAGTTCCTTAACAGCAACCCAGATGATTGAACATGATGTCTGAGTTCTGGTGATATCGGGATTTGGGCTTTATTACAAACCATTAAGGGCTATCATTGAACATAGTTTCTGAGTTCTAGGGGTTTAGGGTTTAGGGTCTGGGGTTTAGGGCTTAGGGTTCTATAATATTTAAACCATCAAGGGTTGTATGAATTGCACAACTTTCACAATCAGTTATTCCTAAATTAAACCCGAAACAGGTATGACGTTCCTGGCAATTATGAGGCTCTCCAGTGCTGGGATAGAACATGCCCGCAATCCTGGGGCCATGATGTCCCCTACTTTCAATGCAAGGTGCTTGGGGGCTGTGGGGTGATGAATGGAGCCTTGGTACAAAGGCCTCATCCTGCAACTGGGTTGCTGTTAAGGAACTTAAATTAAGTTACTATATTGGGGAAACCGTATTATTTACTATATACACCCATTATGGTAACTTAATGTAAGTTCCTTAACAGCAACGCAGGCAAACATGGAGTCCTGGCCCATTGGCTGGAAGATGCCAGACTTGGATCCCTACTTCAAAGAAGCTGCGGCCTTGTTTCATATCACCACCACGCCAAGCAAGGACGGCAAGCACTACCTGGATAGTACTGGCGCAGATTTCATGCGTTCCGTGCTCGAGAAGGAAGGCTTTGTAAAGTCTGATGATATCACCAAACGAGCTGGGGCAATGAGCATTCCACATGTCGCAGCAAAGGATGGGTTGCGTCAGTCGACAACCTCGGAACTCCTGCCCCAGGCATTGCGCCGCAAACACTTCGAGCTGCACCTGGAAGCAGAGGCCATGGAGATCATACACGAAGCAGGTCTGGCGAGTGGAGTTCGGGTCACGCATGCCGGCCGCACAAAAGTCTTTCGCCTTCGACCCAATGGTCTTGTGGTCATGGCAGCCGGTGCGCTGAACACGCCGCGGCTTCTGATGCAGAGTGGCTTGCAAGGAAAGGCACTTGGAGAAGAGCTGTCTGATCACACTTTGGTTTCTCTGATCTATCGCACTCGCGAACAGTCAGCTTTTGGCGCAAATGAGAGCTTTGACATCAGGCCACCCAGTCCCAGCGCAGTATGGCAGTTTACACAGACAAGATCTGGTCCATTGGCACAATATGGCCCAACTCTAACAGCATTTCTGCGTGATCCGTCAACCTCAGGCCCAGCAGATGCATACGATGTCGAAATGTGGGTCAACCCGATCAGCCGTCCAGGCGAAGTCCATGTCAGCCTGGCGCTGATGCGCCCCACTTGCTCCAGAGCCACGGCCCACTTAGCCGGCGGTGCTGTAGGATTGAAAAGCAACCGCCTCTACCTGGGCTGCAGTCGGGACAAGCAAACCATGGCTTTTGCACTTAGTCAGGTGGATAAGTGGCTCCAGGGGCAGGGAGCCCGGCGCGTTCGCAAGTCTAGCCCTGAGGCTATGAGTCATTTTGCAGGCACTTGTGGTTTGGGGCGTTGTGTGGACCCTTCCACGTTGAAGCTCCTGGGCACGGGCAATGTGGCTGTAGCAGATGCTTCCATACTTCCTGGACAGATTTGGGGACATCCTTTCCTGACTTTGACTGCCATGGCCTTGAAAGCAGCGGACCATCTTGCATCTTCTTTTGAATGACCGACTCTTGCTTAGTGGGGAATGGGGGAACTGATCCTTGATTCTTCAAATAGTCCCTATATATCATCCTCACCTAAACTCTACAGACTGTTCCTTCATTCCCTACAAGCCACCAGTCTTTTGAACGAAGTGGGAAGCCTTCAAGCATAGCTACACACTGTGGAACAAGGCTGCCAAGGAGCGGCGCAAGCATATTTCTGATGGCATATCACTTCCCCAAACCTCATATGGAACCAGAATAGCGCCCTCGTAGACCACAGTCCTTAAAGAAGTGCCCTTTGCGGGGTTCCATGTTTGTTTGAGGGAGGGTAGGTGAACTTGTATAGGTCGAAGCGTGCGATGCTGCTGCATCAACTTCATGTGCATCAGCTACCATGCTCCGGCACTGTTCTCTTGCTGTCGCACATGGAAGCTTCTCAAAAAAGAGGTGCTCGTAGGAGTCCTTAGTAGTGAGGATATAGGGCTATATTTGGCTAAGCTCCCTAAACTAGAACCCCTAAATCCTACTCTTTAAACACATTACACCCGACTCCCTAAACCCTTTAACTCTACACCCTGAAACCCTAAACTCCCTAAACCCTGAACCCTCAGTAGGAGCATTGCTCAGGTTAGATTTGCTAGGAGTTGCCGGAGTTCTGGATGGCTTCTTTGTCTCCCCTATGGTTTTGGAGATTCCTGGGCTCTTTAGCTCCCCTTATTATATTGATATAGACTGTTCCTAGCTCCTTAGCTCCCCCCAAAAGTATGGGTAGTTGTACTTCCCTCTCAATTTTAGTATGCCATTTTCTCATACTTCAGAATTTGAAGATTGGTCGTTTTAGGGCTTCAGGATTAACAGTTTAGGGTCTAGGGTTCGGGTTTTGGGGTGTAGGGTTTAGGGTTTAGGTAGGTTCGTAGGCACTACATCAGGCCGCGTAGGCACAGCACCTGGTTCTGCAGTCCCTGACCGCTTTGCAGGCACCCAATTTTCCTGGCATACCGCCGCGAGCTCAGCATCTACTTGTACCGATTCTGACTTTTGGGGGTTTAGGCAGGGGTGGATTTAGGTGGATGTTCAGCCCTAAAACCCTAAACACTTGAGTGTTTGTCTTAGACCAGAATCGGAAATCTTGCGTTATCTGCAATTAGGCACAACATCTGGTACTTTGCATGAAGTACTGAGACCGAAGGATAGACCTTCATATACGATAATACACTAAACCCTAAACCCTAAACACCAAACAGTGGTTTCCATTTTCTTGTCCGTTATCCGAATATAACCCGAGTAAAACCCCAATATGGTAGTTTCCCAAAATTAGGGGACCCCAATATAGACCCCAAAATACTATAGTCCTTATTATACAGACCCCCAAAAAGGTACCCCTAATTGTAGGAAACCCCCATATAGCCTTGTTTTAATAGCCATCCCTGAAATGGGACCCCCCAATTTCTGAAAACCTTTATGTAGGACTTGGACTTGGGCCAGGACGAAGTCTATGTATCAACATAGGTTTAGGGTTTAGGGTTCAAAAGGTTTAGGGTTTATGAGGATAAGGGTTCAAGGTTTAAGGTTTGGGGACTTTGGGCCTGTGCGACCTGCCGGGGGTGGGGGGCGGGGTCGTTTATCGTTAACGCCTGCGCGCCTCCCCCTTGCAAACTATCGGATGCCCCTTTCCCATACTCCCTAAACTTACCGGGTCCAGGACTCAAGGATTTGGGTTTCCGGCACCAAAACCATTCAGCTTAACGTCATTGAGACAAAAGCCCTGCATTAGTTGGGTACATGGATCCCTATATACTCCAGATATTAGATAGCCGCTACATCCCCGCTTGGGGTTTAGGGTTCAGTGTTTTAGGGTCCTAGGGTTTAGGGTCTTTGGGTTTGAGGGTTCAGGGTTCAGGGTTTATGGTTTAGGGATAATTAGGGAGAATCACATGGTAAAGAGACAGGAAGGTGACGAGGGAGAATTTCCACTAGCATTGTTCTAGCTTCCCCGTGTAGTCATGGTACAGGGTGCCTTGAACGAATCGTAAAAACATATTGGTAATCATTTAGGACCCTGTATTTTTCGGTTTAGCGATTCGGGCTTTAGCTCTGCCTGTCAACCTTTCAACGTTGATATCCAGCTATGTCAGAGGCACCGTATGTGCGACTTATGTCAGACTTCCGTACAGGGACGTCCAAACCCTAAACCTCAAGCGCCAAACAGTGAGCTCTCAACTCTACACCAAGCACCCTAAACTGAAACTCCAGACCCTAGATGCAATCTCTCCAGAGCTTCAGCCCTATGACGCTAGACCCCAAAACCTAAGAACCCTAGAACCCTAGGATCCTACAACACTAAACCCTAAGACGGCTTTCAAGGCCTGGTTTCCCTCCTGGCTTCATGTGCTTCGGCGGCAAGCAGAGCTTTCGGTTTTCATCAGGGAGTGCAACTTGTTTTGCTAATTTTCTGGGTCCATTTAAAGGGGTAACATGGGGGTTTAGGGTTTAGGGATATTATCCCCCACAATAGACAAGGAAGCTAAAAATGACATGGGAACTGGGGGTGTATAGAGTGGGATTATAGGGTTTACTTACCCCCGGTTATCAGGAAATGAAGGATTTTCTCATAAACAGCTCATGGTTCAGGGCTCACGGCAGTAGGGCTTTGGTCTTGGGCCGAGGGTGTAGTGCCGGGAGACCTGAAAACACCCGGTTTAGGGTTTATAGTCCCCATTAAGTAGAGAGAATATGGGTTATATGGGGATGTCATTATAAAATACCCAAAGCCAAATTCTAGCTACTTCAGGGAGACTATAGGGTTTAGGGTTGCTTTGGGAACCTTAGGAATGAGATATCCTGGTCAGCCGGGTCCTACCTCTGCCTCTCCCACCCGCCCAAAAGAAAACCCAAAGCCCAGCATGGAAACCCTAAACCCTAAACCCTTAAATCCTAAAACCCTGCACCCAAAACTCTAAACCCTTAAACCCTAAAACCCTGCACCCAAAACCCTAAACCCTTAAACCCTAAAGCCCTTCACCCTAAACCCTTAAACCCTAAAACCCTAAAACCCTGCACCCAAAACCTAAACCCGAAAACCGTAAACCCTGAAACCCTAACCCCTAGACTATTCTCTGCAAGTGTCATCGGCTCTGAGACCTCAGAGGTGCCATTCTTGAAGTTGGTCAACATTCACAGGTATTCCTTAGGAGGACGCCTCCACCCAGTAATAGTGACTATAGGGTGTGGGATTTAGGGTTTAGGGTTTAGGGGTAATAGTGGCTATAGGGGATAATAGGAATTATATTAGGGTCCTCTTATATTCCTATTATGCCACAATTACAGGGTGGGGGGGTC